CCTCCTGCGCGAGCTACAGCAGCGTCGCCAGGCCCGCATAGTAAACTTGGCCTCCAGTGCCAAGACAGCTGATATCTTTACGAAGGCGCTTGCGCCTAAAAATCATCTGCGGCACTGTGTACAGCTAGGTCTTGTTCCTGTTGCCTCTCACCTGCTAGGGCCTTGATTGTGTATAGACCTTTATGTATATATATGTGTTACCCTGACTGGCCTTGTGGCCCCTCCAAGTGGTTGGACTAGAAGTGCCTCCCTGGTCTTGTTCTTGTTGTGTCTGTACCAGGGCTCCCGTTATCAGACCAAATCGGTCTGATGGTCTGAAAATCAGACCGGGTTTTTATGTTTCATCTGATTTTTTGACGAGCCAAATATATTCGTCTGATTGTTCAGACAAGTTATAAGAATTCGTCTGAAACATCAGACCAGGTGTACACATTCATCTGATTTATCAGACCGGCCGTTTTTTCCCGTCTGATACCGACAAACCCACCCTTCTAGCAGCAGGGCCACTACTAGTCCACATGCCCACTGGGCCACTGCCTGCCACCTGGTCCCATGTGCACCGCAGCACGCGCATTCAATTCTACCCCGAGCGCGGCAGCAAAACAGTCCAGCGCACATAAACAGTCTGAATTCTCAGACACGTGCTTGCATTTCGTCTGAATCGTAAGACAGGCAAAACAAATCCGTCTGACGGTCAGACGAAGCTCTAAGTACCCGTCTGATTTTCAGACTGCCCTAAAAACTAGCAGGAGCCCTGGTCTGTACTCCTTTGACTGGTCTTTAGACCCTTGCCTCGGAGACTGGACTAGTAGTGCCGCCCTGAGCTTCTTGTTGTCTTGTTAGGCACTGCCCTTATATCGTCGAGGGGGTGTGTCAAACATATCTAAGTATGTTTGTATATACATTATTGGTTTGTGCTGTAGAGGGTACAACACTCTAGGCTATATCTCCCTGTACTCTCTCTTTCTAGTCACTATTCAGTTGTAAGACTTTTCTCTCGGCCGTCGATACGGCAGAGTAGAGACCTTGGTCGTCGATGTCTGTCAAGTTTGCATGCTAGCGTCGCATATCATCGAAGATGGGAGTTGGTCGATTCCTGTGGAATCTTCTCTCTTGAAGTGTAAATGCTGCCGCCACCTGCATTTCCCATTGGCTGCAGTGTATCCAAATCCAGCCACACAGCTGTCGAGGTGGAATTCGCGTTGGTAGAGGCAGGAATCTATCAAAATCTGCGATAGCATGGATGCATTTCGAAGTTGGGTCTGATTCACGCTTTAAAAAATTGAATCCCCTATAAAACGAGAAAGGTCCCGGGTATTGTAATTCCACGTTTCCTTATTAGACTCACCCCCATGTTTTTTGTAGTATACGAAAAAAGACCCTAGGGTCATATATCCGGGCGTTTACGGTATTTCTTTGTGGCGGTTATATTGTAGCGTTGTGCTATCAGAACCTCTGTTCGGCAGGGAGTGGTTTCGTAACCTTGACGAAGCTCAAAACAAGGCCGTGTTCGAGTAATTGGCTCGAAGAAAAGAAGTACTCAACACGACTTGGTGAACAGTTGCCGAAACCTCCACTTCAGTGTTTCTCGGTTTTGCACCTGGCCTATCGGTTTCCTCGCGCTCGTGTCAGGCGATGACACGAGAGGGAACATGAGGGTACAGGTCCCTCGAGACAAGAATGTAGCTGTCCCGACTCCCGAGTTCTCTGACACAGGTGATGCGAGTGTAGGCTTTTATATCTAAGCTTTCCAATGCGTAAATAGTGAGTTGTTTCCACGACTATTTATCTAAGATCACTTAGCACATTTTCCAAATCGGCCACTTCCACTCTCATGAGCAAGCTTTCAAGAACACAATTATTTCTTTCTCCTCCAAACTATTTGTTGGGACCAGAATTGCAAAAACCCATGAAATACTAGCCAATCAGCCAGTCACAAACGGAGCAACCTTTCACACCCATGCCGGTTTTAGAAAATCACTCGCTTGCCCAGCACCCTACCACCCCTCTCTCTCGACTGGCTGCCACGTCTCCCCTTCTCCCCTCCACCCCTGTATTAGAGGTCTGGAGTTGTTCGCCACCAAGCAGCACCGAGCGACAGTCTAGCTTCACCCCACTAAACCGTCTTCAACCTCTCCTGAAGTCCGAACCTGATTTTCAGCAGGGAATATGGATCCAGCAGGGAATATGAACGCAGCCAGGAATATGTTCCCAGAATGGATTATGAATGCAGCCGGGAATATGAATGCTGCCGGGAATATGAATGCAGCCGGAAATATGAATGCAGCAGGGTATATGGATGCTGGAATGAATATGAATGCAGCAGTGAATATGAATGCAGCAGAGAATGTGAATGCAGCCGGGAATTTGATTGCAGCCGGGAACATGAATGCAGCACCGCTTATGATAGCTGCTGAGCTAATGAATGGGGCGAAGTATATGAATGCAAACGATAATACAAATGTATTAGAGACTCAGGATGCTGAACTGGAATATCATTGTACGTGAGAATATGAATTCAGCAGAGGATATGAATGCACTAGAGAATGTGATTGTTGCTGAGAATATGATTATTGCTGAGAATATGATTGTTGCAGAGGGGAAATGAGTGGGGCAGAGAATGTGATTCTTGAATGAAATTCGGTGTTTTGTTTTTGCTGTCACAACAAAACGTTCACGTACCTGCATCCGTGTTCTTGTCTGTGGTGGGCTACGTTCTGCAGCAACGCGCGGATGCTTGCATGATCATAAACGAGGTTGCCGAGCATGGACGCACTCCGTGTTTAGGATGCGGGTCATATCCCCAGAGCTCCTTGACGTCGGAATACTCCACATGAATGGGCTGCCTTCATTTAGGCGGCGCCGGATCGACCTCACCATCTAGGATATCAATAATCACAAATCCGGGCACGGTTGGCGGTGGATCCGCCTCACCTTCAGCCACGTCCGTCGGCACCCGGTCTGCCTCCATGCTCGATGGGCCCTCAGTTACAGTCATCACGACCGCATCAGCACTCGCCACGTGCACTTCCTTACCCCCTCTAATTGGTTCAGCACCCTTCTCATGCTCCCTCTCCCCCTTGACTGTCTCCACAACTTCTTTTCCTCCCCCCATTCTCAGCTGCATCACCTTCCTCATCTCTGGGTATAGATAGGGTGTGGTCGATGCACTATAATCTCGAAACTCCATTTCAAGCAACCTACAAACAGTCATGATGAGCTCCTTTTTTGTTGCACGCTTCTTTATTCCGGGCAGCCCCTCCCCCAACTCGTCTCGAAGCCAAGCCCGCAGGTGTGTGAGTGAGACGTCCCACAAGTCCTCGATGGTTGCAGCTTCCGATACGCGCAACTCCACCTTGCGTGAATCCACCATGTCTTTGACTAGCTTTTTAGACAATGTCCTACCTTTGTGCCACACGTCAATCTGGTGATCAATCCCTGTACCGATAATTGCAGCTTTGTACGTCCCCCCCTCATCGGTAATAATCCCCTTCACCTTGAATCCCCACTGCTTTAGTTCATCAAGGCCGCGCCGAAAGGCCACTCCCTCTAGAGCAGTTGCCGATACGCCCTCCTCTGTTTTGGACACAGTAACACAGTGCAGCACTTTCCGTGTCAGATGGTCCAAGAAAGTAACACTGCACCACTCCGCCTCCCTTGGCTGGCCCCTGTTCAAATTATATTTTTATATAATTGTAGGCTTGGTAGTTATGCTACTAACTGCATCCTACTGTAGGGGGGACAACCCCCTTCTTGTACTTCATTCTCTTCTAGTCTACCCCTCTTCTCTCTCGACACTCTCGTCCAGCTTCTAGCTAAACCCTTGGCCGCCATTTCATGGCGGCCTCCTCTGTTCTTCCTAGTTCAGACTTTAACATGGTATCGAGAGCGGGATGCCCTTCCTGGGCCTGCTCCCCTCCGTGCTTTCCGCTGCATTCTCGTGCGTTCGTCGCTCGTGCCGTGCCGCCGTGGCGGCCATGTCGCATGGCTGCCACGTCGAGCAGCCGTGCTGGGCTTGCCGCCCTGACGTGGCGGCTCCGCCGTTCCACCTCCCCGTCGCGCCCCTCCTGGGCCCTGCCGTGCCTCCTACCCACGTCGCGCCCCTCCTGGGCCCTGCCGTGCCTCCTAGCCCAGTCGCGCCCCTCCTGGGCCTTGCCGTGCCTCCTAGCCCAGTCGCGCCCCTCCTGGGCCCCGTCCCGCCTGCTCCTCCCTCCAGTAAGCGCCGCGCCTATGGCGCCGCGCTGAAGTCCTGCAGCCCCACCACAGCAGCCCCACCACCTCTCCCTCCCCTGCATCTCCTCCTGCTCCTGCCGTAGCTGCTGTCTTCGGCTCGGTCGTCGCCAGCCCGTGCCACACCGCCGAGAGCCCTCAGCCGCCGCAGTCGCCGCCTGTCCTCATCGACACAGCCGCCTTGAGCACGAGCTCCGCCGCTGTCGTCATTGAGGCCGCCCAGATGCGGCCAGCTGCCTCTCGACCGGGGGTGTCATAGCCTAGCACGAGGGGTCGATACCCGGCTGCTCACGAGAATGAGGGTGTCCGGGGTTAGGGGGTGTGTGTGTGGGTTGTGTGGGTTTGCCACTACCAAGCCTAGGGGGTGTGTTCAAATTATATTTTTATATAATTGTAGGCTTGGTAGTTATGCTACTAACTGCATCCTACTGTAGGGGGGACAACCCCCTTCTTGTACTTCATTCTCTTCTAGTCTACCCCTCTTCTCTCTCGACACTCTCGTCCAGCTTCTAGCTAAACCCTTGGCCGCCATTTCATGGCGGCCTCCTCTGTTCTCCTCTGTTCCTCTGGACTTTAACAGCCCCACCTCCCATCCACACATATCTAGTGTCCATCTAATTCTTGCCGTAACGCGGCACTCCTTTCCATCCCCTCTCGCACCCACTGCATGCATGTGTTTGCATGCTTGATGATGGTTTCCCACAGCCCCCCTGCCCCACTCATATAATTGTAGAATGTCGACTTGCAAGGGATCAGCATTCCCAGATTTCTAGCGATCTCAGTCATGAGTTGGTAACCTCCACCAGCTAGCGCGTACGCTGCCATGAAACGTTGCATCAAGGTAAGGCATTTTCTACCCGGTTTGGAGCCCGTGCCAGTGGCCGGCTGCCGGTTTATGCTCCAAAACGGTTGAGATTTCCCACAACTGTCACAAACCCACAACATCTCGAACCCCACCCACTGCATCTTCCATGACCCCAGCTGCATGTTTCCCGTGCAACCCTTGACTATTGTGCATTGCATCGTGCACATGAGTAAAAAATGCACCATGTGCATCGGGTCTAGCAAGCCGACCATGTTTTTCAGCCCAGTCCATGGTGGGGTCGCTGGCCAACCTCCCTCGCCGGTCCATCTTCCCTCATGTGGCTCTGGAACACACGTCCTGTAGGTGGGACGTAGTGGAGGCACGATAGTGTGTTTCCAACCCCTTTTTCACGACCTTTCCTATCACCCATATCACCCTTGTAAGTATGGAGGATATCCATGACAAATTGCTGTACCATGCATACCTGTGCTGCCCTGTTGTGTCCCCCCCAGCCTCCGGGGTGCGTTCAGACACAGGCTCGGCTTGGCTTCTGGTCTCGCCCTCTCCTCCTTCGATAACGATCTCCACCTGCTCCTCAACACCGCGCGTGTCTTGCCCCTCCCGTGCCGGGCTGGTCACTTTCTCAACCTCTCCTCCCTCGATCACAATCTCCACTTGCACCTCCGTTTGGGACACGTCTAGTCCCTCCCGTGCTTGGCTGCTTGTCGGATCGCCCTCTCCGCTCTGGCTGGTGGCAGCGCTTGCCCCACTTACTTGAGGTACGCCGAGAGCTGTGGTTGAGCAATATGCACAAGTGGGATATGGACCAACTCAGATAAGGGAAGAATGTATGCATGGGGAACCTATCAACTGCGTGGGAGAGTATACATATGGGGCTGGTCTAATGTATAGAGGAGATGCTTAGAATGGTTGTGGTGTTGTGTTCGGCGTTGGTGTGCAATACGTACATGCCTCTCGCATGTCGTCATAGGTCTTGCCCCATCGTGCACCACCCCACGTGAATACCCTCCCCTCCTCCTTCGCTTTCCCTTCGCGGTCTACAGTGCATTTTGGAAAGCCATACTTGAGCCCTTCGATGGGCTGCGGCAACCGCTCTCTAACATCATGGGGCATTCCCTTGGCGCTCCTTTCGAACTCTTTCCCGTAGGTGGACATTCTCACTTCCACGATTGCACTCGCCTGGGCGCCATCAGAGCCTGGAAAGGGCACACTCGGTACCCACATTAGGACATGAAACTGCACGGGCGTGCATGCAGCGTGCACCGTGGTCACGCTAAAAATCCTCGCGTACCCGCTTTGATGGCCGCAGCTGAGAGTTTTTCTTTTGCCCCCTCGCCCGCCGTCAGCAAGAAATACACGAGGTCAGCGAGCGTCGCCGTCTGTTTGTTGCCCATGAGGGCTGTCAAGCCGCATCGTAAAAAGACGATTGGAAGTTGCATATTCTTGGAGATTGCTAGGTTCCTAGTGTCTTTGTTCTCTACGATATCCTTCACCTTCTTCTCCCAATCGCCTCCGGCCATGTTGCTTCTTGCGTCGCACCCCAAGAGAGGCCTTATAGAGGGGCATGTGTTGATTGGTTCCCCCAAACCTACTGCTGTCGAGCCATGCTCCATTCCCGTATTCTACGCCCTGGATTGCGCATCCCAGGGCTATAACGGGAGTTTGGTGCTCTGACCGCCGTAGCTGCCGCGTTCATTGACACCCCATGTGCGCTACTGACTGCCTTGGCTGGGCTTTTTGTGCCTAAGAGGCCATTGCCTGGCCTACCTTAGCGTGCGTGGCTAGTACTCTACTTGGCTGGGTTTTTTCAGGCTTCGATGTGGCCATGAGTTTGGTTGGGGTGGGATTCTTGTGTTGTTTGTTTGTGGACCTAGAGTTATATCTTCTTTGATTGGTCGTCGAGATGTGTACGATTCTGTGTGTGATTCTGTTTGAGCAGGTTGGTTTCGCTATTCGCCAACCATTTGGAGTCTGTCGATGGAGAGTTTTGTGTCGCACACGCAAGCTGTGCGCCTATCGGCACCGGTTTCCCACTTTGTAAGGGCTGTCGCGCATTGGCAAGCGTCCATTCCCTCCTCGTCACACTACAGTGCTGGCGTCGTCGAGTTTTTGTTACATCGCCCTCCAAATCTTTCCCGTAGTTGGCGATTGTGGCCCCATGGCGTTTCGTGATTAGCCGTGCGCTCGCTGGGGGTGTTTGTTGCGCCACATGTACCCCACAGCGGGTAGGTTGGCGTGTGTTGTGCGCGCGGAAGCAGTTGGCGAAATTTCATATTCTGTCAATTCCCGTCGTGAGTTCGCACCCTATCCTGGGATACCAGATTTTCGCCAGCCAATCAACCTAAATTCCCCCCCAAGCCTGTTTTGTCAAACCTCTATACTTGGACGGCGGCTTTAACCTCCGACTGACGCGCCGTGACGACATCAGTATTCCAGATCCCCACTTATCCTGTTTCTCAAGCTAGCTCACGACTCGTAATGATCAGCTCTCTCATCCTTAGCACATACGGCGGCCATCTCGCGTCCAGCTTCACCAGGTAGCAGGCCCTGACCGCTTTTCCACGCCAACCTAAGGCATGATGTATAGCGGCGATGCCGCGGGCGAGGAGGACGATGAGTGGGAGGCGTGGGACGGCTCTCCCGAAGCGTCCGCCGCAGCAGGCGCTGAAGTTGCGGGGGTGGTAAGAGGCGCGAAGGACAGGGACGGGTGGAATCAGGAGATTCGTCGCGCGGACGAGGAGGAGGAATGGGAGGAGTACGAGTGGGAGGAACGGGAGGAGTACGAGCGGGTAGAGCGGGAGGAGCGGGAGGAGGGGGAGACGAAGAAAGAGCAACGGGATGGCAAAGACCCGAAATCAGACGAGAATTATAGAAGAAAGGGGAATGAAGTTGCTTCTACCGAGGGTTGCCCGGCTGAAGCGTCTGGGGTGGAATCTGGCGGGAAGGAAGGGCGAGAAGGGGGTGGGGTTGGAACCGCGGAAGGCGGTTGGGATGGGCGAGTGAGCCTGACGATAGACGGGGCTCTGGGGGAGGAGGGGGGGAGGGCGCTGGCAGGGAAGCGAGGCAAGGGGACGGGGAGGAGGGTGCGACGAGCCACAGCGGAGGACAAGGTGAGAGGAGCAGCCATGGCACGTGGTGGGGTGATACTTGTGAGGGTACGGATTTGAGAAATAGGGAAGGGGGTAGTGGTGCAGAGCAGTGCCGCGTGGCGTGGCACAGAGCAATCAAATCAGATCACGCATTCCTTCAGGAAAGGGTGCACTCGGCGCCTTGTTCTCGCAAAGCCGTCTCTTCCTTGTTTTCTGCGTTTCCTCCTCTGTCCTGTCCTCCCCTCGTTTTTATTCCCCAGGTGTGTTGTCAATCGATCCATGCATGGGGTGCATGTGCTCTGCCTGCCTGCTGGCCATGGTTTGATTTGAAGCGCTTCAGAACCTGGCTGCATCTCCCGCGCTCTCCCCTGCTCTCCCCCGCTCTCCCCCGCTCTCCACCCTCTCTCCCCTCTCTCCACTCTCCTCCCCTCTCCTCCCCTCTCCTCCCCTCTCCTCCCCTCTCTCCCCTCTCCTCCCCTCCCCTCCCTCTCCTCCCTCTCCCCCCTCTCCTCCCTCCCCCAGGAGTGGTGCCAGTCCGTGCACCGGGTGCACGCGCTCTGCCTGCTGGCTCGTGCGCTGGCACTTGACAGGGCAGCGGATGATGCGCTGCTGCAGGTGGGTGGGGTGTGTGGACTGGGTACTACTACTAAGTAGGATGCACATGCTGTGCTGTTGGCATGCGTTGAACCCTGTAGGACAGGGTGGCGTTTGCGGGTTCCTTATGGGCTACGCATTTGGATGGCTCGATTGCGGATGTGCTGTTGCTGCTGTAGGGGGGCTGTCATGAGCATATATGTGTGCGCGTGTGTCTGTGTGTCTGTGTGGCGAGTGTTCTTGTGTGTCGCCACGTGTGTTCTTCCGTCTTGACCCCTCGATGTTTTCGTATTTCTGGCAAGTAATCTCCTTTTGCCTACTCTCTCTCGCCCTCCACCTCTCACACCAATCCTTCTCCTCCCCCCCCCTCTCTCCCCCCCCCTCCCCCTCCCTCCCCATACAGGCGGCCATGCTGTCACTAGCACCTCGGCTCCTAGTGGAGGAGGCACAGGAGGCAGCAGCATCGCATGGGGGCCCCTCCCTGCACCTGCTGCAGCAACTCACCTCCTGGGTTTGTCTTATCTCTCTCCATCCTCACTCACTCTGCTTGCCATTCCGCACTTAACGCATTCCTATCTCTGCTCCCCACGCCTTCCTGTACCCGTTTTCAGTTGTGGATCTCTTGCTCCAATCAGAGACGATTGGATCCGACTGTCCCTTTCCCGCCGTATCCTACAGCTTTTCGTACCTTTTGCATTGTCCCCAGCGTTTCACACCTTTCACGAGCCCGCTTGCTGTCCCCAATCCTCGCTGTTTCCCTTTCCGAATCTCCTCTCCCAAAATCTTCCCATCCAGGTTCGGTCTGCATTCACCGTGCAGCCATCCTCCTCCTCCTCCTCCCAATCCCTACCACCACCACGGCTGCATCATCAGCCGCATCCCACCGCCCCCCACAGCAGCAGCAACAAGCCCGCAGACAAGAGTCTCACTCTCTCGGCGCACCTCATAGCGTGCCTGCACCAGGCGGTGGCTCGCAAAGGGGGCTCTGCGGAGGAGGTTGCTGCTCTCTCTGTCGCTCTCTTCCGGGCCCTTGGCTTCACAGCAAGGTAGTGCGTGCCAGCCACTGGAGCCACACTTTTTTCTCTCTTTTTTTTGTAGCCTGCAAGTTAGGCTTATCACCGGTGGGACTGTCTACCTCGTTACGGATTCTGTTTGCTTCCAGAGCTCTGCCAGAAGCAACTTTTGAGAGTCGTCTCCAAGGTCACCTCGATCTCCAGCAGAGCATAATTTGTTTTCTCCCCTTCTGACCGCATGGCTCCTCAGTTGCTGCTTGCTTCCCATCCCATGCTCGAGCCTTACGTGTCCTTTCTGGTCTTTGGATGGGCATGGCAATTGCTTGCTTTGGCAAGTACAAGCTCCTCTTGTTGTCCCTTGCTCTGAATCATTGCTCTTGCTCGGCTTCTTTATATGACCAGATCCGTTCTTCCTTCCTCCTACATGCACACTCTTCTCCACTCCCTCCCTTCCACCCCCCCTCTCTCACTTACTTCGCCCTACAGGCTAGTAGCGGCCATCTCCCCGTCCCCTCTCAAGCCCACCCCGCAGCTCCTAGCAGAGTTTGACTCCTCCTCCAACACCCCCTTCCCACGCACCTCCTCCTCCCGCGCCCTCTCCCCTTTCACCCACCGCACCCGCCTCCTCCCCGTCGCCTCCGCCTCCCCAACCCCTCCTCCCGCGCCCACCCGTCTCCCCCAAACGCACCTGCGCCATCGGTTGTCTGTTGCTCCTCCTGCTGCTCGTTTCCCCAAGAGGCGCACTGCTGCTGCTGCTATAGCTGCAGCTGCGGGTGGTGCTGCTGGCGGTGCTGCCCCTTCAACTGGTGATTCTCTTGCCGTGTGGCCTAGTGGTTCTGCTTCTGCTATCCTGGCTGCTGATTGTGGTCGTGACGCTGGTGGAGCCGGTGAGGCTGGTGCGACTGGTGGTGCGGGTCATCATGAGGGCATAGCAGTAGGTACCAGTGGCAGGGGCAGGAGGGGGAGGGGGGGCAGGGCGGGCAGTGCAAGAGCGAAAGGGGTAGGTGCTGATAACTCTAGTGTGTCTGTTGATCCACCTGAGAAGACGTCACGAGCTCAGATAGGCAATGGTGGCAGTGGCAGTGGCAGCTGGGGCAGTAGAGGCAGGGGGCGTTCTGGCGACGGTGCTGGTGCTGGTGCTGGTGATGGTGCTGGTGCTGGTGCTGGTGCTGGTGCTGGTGCTGGTGCTGGTGCTGGTGCTGGTGATGGTGGTGGTGCTGGTGATGGTGCTGGTGATGGTGGTGGTGCTGGTGATGGTGCTGGTGATGGTGGTGGTGCTGGTGATGGTGGTGGTGCTGGTGATGGTGCTGGTGATGGTGGTGGTGCTGGTGATGGTGGTGGTGCTGGTGATGGTGCTGGTGATGGTGGTGGTGCTGGTGATGGTGGTGGTGCTGGTGATGGTGCTGGTGATGGTGGTGGTGCTGGTGATGGTGGTGGTGCTGGTGATGGTGCTGGTGATGGTGGTGGTGCTGGTGATGGTGGTGGTGCTGGTGATGGTGCTGGTGATGGTGGTGGTGCTGGTGATGGTGCTGGTGGTTCTGCAAAGAAAGGGGCCACTGCTGAGCAGGAAGTGGGAGAGGGGATTGAAGAGGATGGAGGGGGGAAGAGAGGTGTCGGGGGAAGAAGAAGAGGGGTTGGGGGAAGGGGAGGAGGGAGGGGGGGAGGGAGGGGTGGGAGAGGGAGTGTGGCCGGGAAGAGGAAGCGTGGGAAAGAGGAGGAAGAAGCGGAAACAGAGGAGGGGGGGAAGAGTGCAGTGAGAGAGAAGGTGGGGGTGGCTGTGGGGCGAGTAACCAGGCAAAGGGCAAAGAGGGAGAGTGAGGCGGGGTGTGAAGAGAGCGGGAATGAGAAGCAAGGAGGTGGGGACTGTGAAGGAGGTGACTGTAAAGGAGGTTATGGCGATGGGGATGGGGAAATGAAGGTAGCCAAAGGAGGGAATGGAGACGGTGGGAAGAAGGGGAGAGTGAAGGAAGAAGAAGTGACAGAGGAGGGTGAAGGGGCAGCAGGAGGAGGAGGGGCAGGAGGAGCAACTCGAGCAGGAGGATTAGCAAGTGAAGAAGCCCGTTTGGAGCAGCAGCGCAAGCGCAAGCGGAAGGGAGACGAGGAGTTTGAGTTGCAGCTAGCCATGGCAATGGCCGCCACCGCGGCTGCTGCTGCCAACCCCGCTCCAGCAGCAGCAGCAGCAGCAGCAGCAACAGCAGCAACAGCAGCAGCAGGAGAGAGTGCAGCAATAGCAGCGGCAGTAGCTGGCATTGCAGTTGCGTCCGCCAGTGAAGCAGGGAAAGCTGGTGCACTGAAAGCACTGTTAACAGCAGATGAGGCTGGAGGGTCAACGTCCCTGGGGCACGAAACAGCCGTCGGCTGGAGCAATGCTGGCAGCAGCATTGCCAGCCACAACCCACTTGGCACTCAGACGACCACTCACATGAACAGCACCCTCAGCAACAACGGCAACAGGAGTGGCAGCAACAGGAGCGGCAGCAGCAGCGGCACAGCAGTGGTGTGGTCGCGGCAGTTTGCCGCAGCCTCACACTGGGGAGAGGTGTTTGTCAGTGGCAGGGGGGGCACGCGCAGTGCTGCTGGGGTGGAAACGGGGAGTGCTGGCAGGTCAGGTGCCCAGACTAGTCTTGGGAAGAGAAGAGGAGGTTTTCGTGGTGCTGGTGCTGGTGGTGGTGATGGTAGCGGTAACGGCAGTTGCAGTGGCAGTGGTGCTGCTGCTACTGCTGCTGGTGTGGGCGGTGTGGGTCGGTGGGTGCATGTGGATGGGGGGAGGGGGGTGGTGGACGGGGAGGATAAGGTGGAGGGTTTGCTCATGGGCATGGCACAGCCGCTCACATACGTCCTCGGCTTAGCGGGCGGTGGTGCCAAGGACGTAACCAGACGGTATGCATTGGCTGGCATTGTAGTCAGTTTCTAAGCGGAGTGGTATGCGTCCTAGTCTTCCAGCACTTTTTCTACTCTGCTCCTTTATTTTTCTCCTTCGTATTTACCCCCTGTTTTTTATCTGCTCTTTTCTTGTCTCTCGGACTATCCGCACACCTGGGTCCGTACTTCAATTTTCTGGATGCCGGACATGCTCAATCACACCTGCTCCCCCTACTGCATTGCTCCCACTTTCCCGTTGTCTTTTCCTTTCGCGTCCTCACTCCCACACTCTCCCCCAATCAATCCCACATTTCATCACTCCCTCCCCCCTCCTTCCCCTCCTCCCTCCCTTCCCTTTTCGCCCCCTCCCCCCCCCAGCTACGCGTCGCGCTGGTCGGTGGTGTCTCCCCTCACGGACGAGAGGGCCTCCATCCTGCTCCCCCTGCACTTTCCAGAAGCTGCTGCAATGGCTGCCAACCGCTTCCTTTCTCTGCTTCCTCTCCCCTGTATCCCTCCCCCACAACCCACCCCCCGTCAGTTATGCGTCGCGCTGGTCGGGTCGGTGTTGTCGCCCCTCAGGGACGATCCCTGGTGGGCCGCCCCCCTGCACCCCTTGCACTCCCCAGAAGCCGCTGCAACCGCTGCCAATTGCTGCCAACCGCTCCCTTTCTCTGCTTCCTCTCCCCTTTACCGCCCTCCTCCCTCCCCCTCTCAGTTATGCGTCGCGCTGGTCGGTGGTGTCGCCCCTCAGGGACGAGCCCTGGTGGGCCGCCACCCTGCAACCCCTGCGATCGCTAGAAGCCGCCGCCACCGCTGCCAACCGCTTCCTCCCTCCGCCTCCCACGCCTCCTGTCCCTCCTGCTCCTCCTCCCCCTCCTGCCTCTTCTCCGCTTCTGTCCCTCTCCACTTCTTCCCCTGCATCCCTCCCACCTGTTCTCACACCACCAACGCCTCCTGTCCTAGCCACCCTGTCATCACCATCCTGGATAACTCCACCCACCCCAGCCCCTTCGGCCGACGCTTCTCCTCCCCCCCTCTCCTCCACAACCCCCCTTCCCCCATCCATGGCATTGTCTGGTCTGCTCCCGTCTGTTTCCGCCTCCGGCCCTCTCCCTGCATCTGTGTCTGCTGGTGAGAAACCGGCGGTCAAGGTCGAAGCAAGTGCACATGCAAGTGCAGCAGAGAGGGTTGCGGCAGCACTTGGTGGGGCTGCTGCAGCGGCGACGGCTGCTACCACGCCAGCCACAGAATCTGCATGTGTGCCAGCGACAACAGCAGCAGCGAGATCGACAGCCCCCGCAGCAGCAGCAGCAGCAGCAGCGGCGGCGGCGGTATGGGATGAGCGGGCAGCAGCGGAGGATATGGAGCTGGATGTGAAGCAGCTCACAGAGCCACTGCCGTCCAACCAGCAGGTGCACTGCGATTACCATAGCAGCATTGGCAGCATTGGCAGCATTGGCAGCATTGGCAGCATTGGCAGCATTGGCAGCATTGGCAGCATTGGCAGCATTAACAGCATTGGCAGCATTGGCAGCATTGGCAGCATTGGCAGCATTGGCAGCATTAACAGCATTGGCAGCATTGGCAGCATTGGCAGCATTGGCAGATGTAGTTATATGACTTGTATCCCTGCCCTTCCACGCCATTCCTTTCCTCTCTCCCTCTCCCTCTTCCACCACCTTGCCCGTTCCCCAGCAAACGTGTATACCAGGCATACAGCCACCATCTTTCCATACATCTTGCAGGGCTGATTCGTGGCATTATCGCTACCTATTCCTGTAGGTGCTAGCTGTTACGCGCTCCTCTCTGCCCGCTGCGCCCCCTTATCCTCCCCCTTCTCTATCTCAGGCGAGTCACAGTCTTTTTTAGGCGCCTCAAATTTAGCCCCTATCCTCTCCTCGCTCTATCTCAGGCGTGCAGCAGCAGTCACCCCCTCTGCGTGCTGGAGCGATGGCTTGGCTGGTGCTGCGCCTGCCTGCCAGTGCCTGCAGCTAAATGTGCAAACCGTTCCACTCAGGCAGTCCGTCATATTAGATACGCTCTACCTTTCTCGCCGCTCGTCCTTTCTCCCCACAACCCCCCAAGGCATACAGGACACCGCAACCCCCCACCCCCCCCCCCCCCGCCCCCTGTACTTGCTGCGGTGATGGCTGAGTGTGCATCAGTTCCTGCGGCTATAAGTGCAAAGCTCTAATCTCGTTTCCTCCCTTTCCCCTTCTCCTCTTGCCCCCCCCAGGCGTACCGCAACCACCATCTGTATGTGCTGGAGCGGTGGCTAGGCGCCTACCAGTGGCGGCACCTAGAGGTGCACATGCAAACCGTTCTCTCATCGTTCTTCTCCCCCTCCCTTCCCCCAGGCATACCGCAACCACCCCCTGTACATGCTAGAGCGGTGGCTAGGCGCCTATCAGTGGCTGCGGCCTCGAGGACCTGTGCTGGGGGTGTGCGGGGGGGAGGCGGTGTTCCCCCGGTCGTGCGTGCAGCAGCTGCGGTCGCGGCACCAGTGGCTCAAGGACGGGCGGAGAGTGCGCGATGGAGAGGCGCCTGTGAAGACGGTAAGGGGAGTTGGGAGTAGAGGGTCCTTGTTTTTCCAACAGGCGCCTTAAATTAATGGGGCGGGTTGGAATGGGGAGAGGGAGATTTCTCAGGGGTTGGTTTGAAGGGTGGGAGTAGAGGGCGTTCAAGTTGACTTGTCTTGACTTGTGTGCACAATTGGGGAGTGGAGCAGTCAGTTTTCTAGGCGCCTCAGCAGTAGGAAAGTGGGGGTTGGGTGAGATTCCTGGGAGGTCAGTAGAGGGTGATTGGGATGTCTTGTGTGGGTTGCTGATGGCGTTTATGACGGTGGTATGAGATGTGTAGGTCTGAGGGGGTTAGAAGTTCTTTTTGGGTTTCCTCAGTTTGTCAAAGCACCACTCCTACTTCCGCTTCGCTCTCACTCTACCTCTCTCCTCCCCCTCCGCCGTCCCACCCCCACCCGTCATCCCCTCATTCATCCCCTCATTCATCCCTTCATTCATCCCTTCATTCATCCCTTCTCATCCCTGACCTCTAACTTTCCCTCCCATCCTCCCCTCCTTCTCTCCGCCCTTGCACATAAACCCGTTCTCCTCCCCCACAGCTCACTCGCAAGCCCCCCACGCCTCGCTCCTTCCAGCGCCGCAGCAACCCCTACCAGAGCCGCACACACATTTTACCCCAGGAGTGCTTCCCCTCGCACGTCTCTGCGCGCATGCGCGCCGCCGCTCGTGACCGTAAGGAGGGTGGTGGTGGTGGTGGTGGGGGGGGGGGGCAGGTGGGTTCTAGATCCAATGCGGCTGAAGATGAGGATGCTGCAGCCGCAGCCGTTGGATCAGGGGACGGAGGAGGAGGAGGTAGTGAGATGCGAGCAGGAGCAGGGACGGCAACAGTTGAAGGTTCATCCTCCCCTACCACCATCACCATTGAGCTCTTCGGCGAATGGCAGACTGACACGTGGCGCCCGCCGCCAGCTGTGGACGGCCGAGTGCCTAAGAACGAGCGGGGGCAGGTGGAGGTGTGGTCTGAGAAGTGCCTTCCCCCGGGCACTGTTCACCTGCGGTTACCGCGTCTTGTAACGGTGGTGCAGCGGCTAGGGTTTGACTTTGCGCCAGCAGTGGTGGGGTTTGAGTGGAAGGGCGGCAAGGCCACGCCCAAGTATGAGGGGCTCGTGGTGTGCCAGGAGCACGCTGACACTATAGTGGATGTGAGTATAACGAGGGAGTGGTTTCTGGGGGAGTGGTTTGTGGTTTGTGGTTGTGGGAGGGGAAGAGTTGATTCTTGGGACTGTGACTAGTGGAATTGGGAAGGGGGGGATGGGAAGCGCAGGGGGAAGTAGGAGGGGTTCTGTGGGTTGGGATTTTGGGATGAAGGGATTATGAGTAGCTGTGTTCAATGAGCTTGTAGACACAGCCATTTTCTTCTCCCTCAATCTTCCCTCTTCCCCGGCGCTCTCCCCATTCCCCACACTGCCTCCTTCGCCCGTTCTAATCCCTCTCCCTCACCCTCCTCCCACTCCCTCCAGGCATACACGGTAGAGGAGACTTTTGAGTCGACTCAAAAGTCACCTCGGTAGAGGATTAGCGGCTGACCCTGTGGTTGAGTCGACTCAAAAGCAGGCCCTTTCCTCGCCCTCACCCCCTTCTTCGTCCCTTTCCCCTAACCGCATCCCCTGCCTGCAGGCGTACACTGCAGAGGAGCAGCGGCAGCACGAGCTGGCCCTGCAGCGGCGGCGCACCGCGGCGCTGGAGCGTTGGCACGCACTCATAGGCGCCATGCTCACACGCCAGCGGCTGCAGGACACCTACGAAGGTGCTGGCCCTGCTGCTGCTGCTACTGCTGATGGTGCTGCTGCTGGTATGGCTAGAACGGGTGCTGCTACAGAGGGTAGGGGAGAGGGTGTAGGGTTTGGAGGGGAGGAAATCGAGAGACTGGAGATTGGGTGTGAGGTGGAAGGGGAGGAGGATGAGAAGGAGGGGGAAAGCGATCGGGGAGGAGAAGGGGAGGAGGGGGAGGAAGGGGAGGAAGAGTGTGAGGGTGAGGGCGCTGAGAGGAGGGTGAGGGGGGGTGGTGGTGAGAAGAGGGTGTCTGCAGGTCATGTGCACGAGCTCAGGGTGGTGGGGATGGAAAGAGGAGGGGGACGTGGCAATCTGGGCTGTGATGCTGTTGCTGCTGCTGCTGCTGCTGCTGCTGATGGTGACGATGGTGCTGATGCTGGTGCTGATGGTGGATGTGGAGGTGTGTGTGTTGTGCGGAAGCAGTGCTGGTGTGGGTTTGCAGTGGATGTGGAGGAAATGTGATCTCATGAATGGGTGGGCGGGAGGGAGCTTTCGGGCAAGTTCCTATAGGCTCGCGTGTCAAACATATTTGTATATGTTGCTATAGACTAGATAGGGTCATGCCTTAGCGAGTACAACATTTTAGGTCAAAACCACCATGTACTCTGTTTCTTAGTTCATTCTGCTACTTTGAGATGGTACCATAGTAGGTTAGGTCAGTCCACCCGCTTCCGCCCTCGCCCTAACCTAGCGCCCCGCTGTTCCCTTAGCGCGCCCCGCTGGCCTTAGCGCGCCCCGCTGGCCTTAGCGCGCCCCGCCTGGCCCTAGCACCCCAACCGGCCCCTCGCGCGCCCGCTGGTCCCTTAGCGCCCCTCGCGCCCCGCCCGGCCCTCGCGCCCCGCTGGTCCCTCCTGCGCCCCACCTGGCCCTAGCGCCCCGCCGGCCCTTAGCGCCCCGCCGACCCCTCGCGCGCCCGCTGGTCCCTTAGCGCCCTGCCGGCCCCTCGCGCCCCCCTGGTCCCTTTCGCGCCCCGCCCAGCCCTCGCGCCCCGCCCAGCCCTCGCGCCCCGCTGGTCCCTCCTGCGCCCCGCATTTGCGCTGGTAACTCTGTCGACACCGTCAATCTCGTGCGCCGCAATGGAGTTGCAGCTGGCAGAACCCCTCCTTCTCCTTCAGTTCATTACTGACGGGGAAAACGACCCTACTTGTCCCCCTTCCAGAAAATCTTCACCCAAGCTTCGTGTAGCCCCTCGATTTTCTATCAGTGCATTTGTTTTCCCACTGCGCCTGCAGGCCATGGAGCAGGCCGACCTCGATGAGGACGTAGATGAGGCAGACTATGACGAAGAAGAAGAAGAGTATTGGTGTGGCGAGAAGTTCCGTGATGGTCGCGCCACGCTAGAGTTTCTGCGGCAGTCCGATGCCTCTGATCGTAGCCCTTAGAGGAATCCTAGTGACGCTGCCTCTGCTGATGACGATGCGCCTGTTCCCGACGCAGCGGGCAAGAAGTCTGCGGATGCAAGTCCCCTGCCCGCTGCTTCAGCTCCTGTCGTCGGCACCACGCCGTCGGTGACGGCGGCGAAGAGGTTCCGCTACAGGCAGGTGATTCTGTCGTACGCCTCCACGTCGACATGCCAGGATCCACCTGAGCCTATGCCGAGCCCCTCTGTATCCGCGGATACACCAGAATCGTCTGGCGGCAGGTCCACTGCTAGAACGAATGAGGACATCTATGCTGAGGCACAAGAGCGTTTCAAATCTCGCTGGTCTGACGGATTCCCTTGGCTCATGCTCTTGAAATCTGACGATGGGCTCCCGGCCTTCAAGTGCAGTGTATGCGCAGTGCATGCAGGACCTGCAGGAGTACCGGCAAATCGAGCAAGGGAGCTACGGACGTGCAAACCCAATCGTTCAAGAAGACGCAGAAGCATCGCCTCACCATGTCCAAGCAGGACGAACTCCTGCAACTGGCATCGAACCAGCAGCGGATGGACACGCATCCCTGCGCGGCTGACGAAGATAAGGAGCGAGTCATCGCGCTGCTCAACTCCCTCTACTTATGCGCCAAATGTAACGAACCCATGGAAACATGGATTCGTTTGGTGTGCTACCTCTCATTGCACGGTTTCAAGGGCTTCCCGAAGTCCGCCTACGGCACGTACTATAACTGGTGAGAAATCCAGTGACTATGAACTTCTCTCTGTCTCATCTTTACGTATGAAACCTACAATGACTTGGCTTGTGCGTGTCGTGTAACAGGTACGGCTTCCGTGAGCTGACACAAGCAACGGCAATGTGGCTGCAGACGACTCAACTCCAACACTTGCTGGACAGTCCCTACATTGGCCTGAGCCTCAACGAAAGCACCGATCGCTGCCGTGGCAAGCACATGATCGTGTTTGCCACGTTCATCCGGGAAGGGAAGCTTGTAACTGAGTACCTGGCACTGCTGACAGTGGATAAGGCTGATGCGGCATCGCTTCTCGCACTCCTGCTGTCCCACCTGCAGGCGATTGGCGTCGACCTCGGCCGCATCTCTGGCATAAGCACTGACGGCGCTGCCGTCATGATGGGATCGCGCTCTGGACTTGTGGCTCGCTTTCGTCTTCACGTTCCGCACCTTGTCTCTTGCCATTGCATTGCCCATCGGTTCATCATCCGTTTGCTGTATGCATGTCATGTACTATATATTTGCTTCTTGGTTTGTTTATAATGCCAATCCCTAACTTGCTTCCTAGTTTGCATCTCATCTCCCTATCCCACGCAGATAGGCGATGGCTGCAAAGGCTGCTGCCGAGGAGATCCATGTCTTCAGCATGGTGGACAACGTCATTCGCGAGATCGCTGAGCTGCTCGGTCGCTCCAACCCTTGGCATCAATGGTTCCTAGAGCTCCACGACGTGTTCATGTTGACAAACCTCTAGCTCCAAGGCATCCACAACATCCGCTAGCTGTCGCGCGGGGATGCGGTAATCTGCCTGGTCGAGGTCCTACCGGCCATCGTGGTCATTATGCAGGAGTACGACACCAAGCTGTACGCGCTCGTCACCAGTTACCGCTTCTGGCTCCTCCTGATGTTCCTCAGTGACGTGCTGGAGCTGCTGAACGTCCTCAACAAGGTCTTCCAGCAGCGGGAGGTAAACTTGTTTAATGCTTGTGTTTGCATGCCTGTCGATGTTGTTGCTTGTCTCTGCCGGTCGTCCCTTAACACATCCATCTGTGATGCCCTACCTCTCCTCACCCCCCTACCCACTAGCTGGACTACACGATGGTGCACGCGCAGATCATCCGCACGACCTCACTGCTAGAGAGCCGCAACGTGGACTGCGGAGACGACTTCACTGGCAGGCCCAACGATCAATTGACGCGGTTCCTCGCCAAGCAGGGCCCGGCAAGTCCAAGCTAGTGACAGTGGAGGGGATCGACTCCGACGACCGACCTTCACGGTTCACCTTCAAGCTGCACGAAGAGCCCCAAGAGGACTACCCGGGGCCCAGCGACCACGATGGGAGTGTCGTGGCGTGCATGGCTCTAGCGGAGGGACTGGTCCACAGCCTCGACGAGCCCCTAGGCGATCTGTGGCAGCTGTCGGGAGCGCGCTTGTTCAGCGTCGACACATGGCCATCCAACTGGGACCGACAGGCACGGAGGACGCAGTGCCTCGAGTGGTTCAACTCGCTCGTGGTCATCTACCACGCTGAAGACAGGGACGAGAATCTGCCAGGTGAATCACCGTCTACTCCTTCCACTATCCCTTCGGCAATGTATCTGTTCAACAAGACACCTATCTTTTACTAGCGGTGTACTGTTTCCGATAACCCAACCCTTCTCCCTCTCTTTGTGTGCCCTTGTCTGAGCAGGTATAGACAAGCGCAAAGCCCAGAGCGAGCTCCGCAACTTCGTCCCCGTCCTTGCTGCGCTTCCCAAGGTGGACAAGTCATTCCATGCGGGGCTCAGCGCCATGCTCAAGACACATGACTGGAGGGACAACTACTCCAACCTGGTCAACTTGTGTGTGGCGGTGGCTGTCCTTTCGTTCAGCACTGTCGAGTGCGAGCGCGGGTTCTCCAACCAGAACGTCATCAAGAGTTAGCTGTGGGGGGCTCTCAAGGATAGTAGGCTAGGAGATCTGTTGTGCATGTCGCAGCTAGATTATGACCCCGACTGGGAAGAGGTGGTCTCCATCTGGCGGGCTTATAAGAAGAGGAATCCCCTTAGCAACGCCCTGCCCGAGGGCAGTAGTAGCAGGAAGGGAAAGGAGAAAGTAGATTATGATACGCTAGCAGCGCCTCAGCAGGATATGCAGGATATCGACTGATTCCATGCATGTAGTGAAATGTAGTGCATTTTCTAATGAAGAACCATAAAAAAGACTCATACAAAAGTTTGGCTATGACTCTGATTGGTCAGACAAAAATCCGCGGCTACTCTGATTTTTCAGACTTTTTCGAGGATGTGACTCTAACACCCATACCAAGGGAAGGCAAGGGACTCTGACGAATCAGACAGGCCCAAAACCAATTTGGGGGCCAATTCTGAAAGCACCGCATGACCATACGGAGCTCATGTGTGGACTACTCAAAGGAATGACCACAAGCAGAGTTTCTTCCTTCCCTTTCCCACATTACTACCAGTAGTTTCAACTGTAGCATACACAATTGTAACTGGGAGGACTATGAAGATGATCCTCATGCACAACAATTTATTGGAAATGGGAGCAAGAGGTGGTGGTGAAGGAGGCTAGGAGGCGGGGAAGAGGAATGGGAGGGAAGACCAGAGACTGCCTTTGTCTCGAATATTGTGAAATTACCTATCAACTTCCACACACAGATGAGTGTGTACCGAGAAGCACCTACTTCCCCACCATTCGATCTGAAATAGGTTGAAAATTGGTGCAGGAGACTAAGTATAGAATCTGCAGACACAAGTACTTGAAGTAGAAAGTAATTCTAGAAGTACATCCAGTAACAGCCAGTATTAACAAGTTGTAATACCAGAATCAGAGTTACAGCCTTGTGATACTTTAAGACTTTGAGCAAGGATCTTTATTGGAATGGTAGACTAGTAAGACAGCGGAAGTCTTTGAACTTGTAAGTGTTGACCAGGTCCCAAAATAGCCAAGTGAAATGCCCTGATTGCCCTGATTTTTCAGGGTCTTTTTTCGGTTGGTCTGAAAAAACAGACTTACGATAATGATTAACCCGATCTAAAAAGTGTTACGAATGTTTTACCCTGACGAAAACAGGGTTGTGGATCCCCGCACTCTGACCCGCCAAGATAACATGAAAACTACCCTGGTACCGATCGTCTGAAATTTCGGTGAAGCCCCTCGCGACCAGAAACAGACCACCCCCACCCCCCCCCCCCCCCCCCCCACCAAATACCCTGCAACCCCGAAAATTCTGCTAAGTCCCTCGCGGCCAGAGACATTCCTCCCACGCACCCTGCAAATCTGATTTTTTCGCTTAGTCCTTACAGCCAGAGACGTCACTCCAGCAGCAGCACCCCCCCTTTCCCAACCCATAAATGGCTAAGTTCCATACAAGAGA